TTAATTTTCCTCTTGGCGGTTTTAACCCACTTGAAACACGTTAGTCAAAGGGTTCAATGATCCAAATACTGTTTCACGTGATCATGTAAACCACCATCTAGTGTTTAAACCATATATAGTACCATACTATACGTGAATAGGAGGCAAATGAAACACCATGAAACACCTATCTAAGACTCATCAGTTGAGGGACTTTCTTTCTTCTCTGGGGATGGCTCAAGACCTGGAGCCCAACCAGTCCATGATGCAGCTTGACGCGCCGCCGGTAGGTTAACCAAACACTCCCAGGTACCCACCCTATGGTGAAGGGCCCTTGGGAAGCACAGGATCTCTCGAGCGCTTGACGCGACGTCGGTAGGTTAACCAATTGCATTCATTCTTCAAACCGGTGTTCAATTCCCTTGTTGGATTAAGCCTCCGGATAGATCTCGAGCGCGTCCACATCATTTCCAAGACCCTAAAGTCTTGGCGCTGCCGACTAAGCTGAGGTCACTCCGTGAACAAGCCGATGCAATCCGCATCATTATTCAATACTTGCAGGGATTTTGTAGCACGCGTTTATACCCGAAATTCCATAAAACTGCGTCTAGCAGTCTCGTTCAAGTTGGCTGGGGACGTACATATACGGGTGGTTTTCCTCTCAGGCCGCAATTCATTAACTCAGATGATACACAGAAGACCCTGCAACTGTATGCAAAGAACTTGGGGATCAAACCACCGTACCATCCATTAGGTCTGGTTCCCATGACTTTGTGTCAGGTTAGGATTACGGTCGATCCCGTTGTCAATTTGGACTATTCTCAGTGTTACCACTTTCGAAAGAAACTTCGAGAGATCTGGAACCGTGGAGGTAATTTGGATGACCTTGTTCCGCCAGCGCCTCCAAATTAGATGCCTAAATTCACTGCCATCGTTCGTATCCATTACCACCTTTGTGCCATGCGGACATTCGGTTTCACATAGTTAGGGTTGGGTATTGCGATGTTTTGCACTTGCCAATTTATTTTGGTGTATGGGTACAACACCCATGCCCGTGGGAATTTCACCTACTCCCAGGTACCCATCAAAACGATGAAGGGCCTTTGGGAAGCGTTTGGGATTGATGCGCAAGTTACGTCGGTAGGTTAACCAAGGTATCCCAGTTTTGACACACGGCCATGTTGAGACCATGGAGTCCAATACTTGTTTGAGTTTCATTGCTAGCTGGCCAACGTCTGGGCTGGCCGAACGTAATCTCTACGTGCGAGCGTGAGACGCAGCAAAGGTACCTGGCTGTGGGATGCTGTGGGAAGGACCAGCGTGAAGCAAACACAAACCACAGGTTGCCATTCCTCAAGCAGATCTTCAAGATAAATGCTAAACGCTGATCATAATATTGTTCCATGTTGTATCTGATCTCCTGTAATCTTTTGAGACGGCGGGTTAACCTTTCCATTTGTTCCACAGACTGGGTAGGAAGGGGTTCGACTGGATTTGCTTAAGGAACCGCCAACAGAGGTTAAGTGACCTTGTACGACACGTCACCTGGGGTACCGAACTAGGATAGTCTAGTTCGGGTTCATTTCAACCTCTGCTGGCGGGTAAAACCCTCCTTCGTGAGAACTGATTCCGTCCAAGGCCGTCGGGTCTTGGAGGGGTTTTCCTCGTCGGATGCGAAAGGACTGATGGGAGATGTTTCAATCGGAGAGCCTGGGAGCCTGGGAGCCTGTCACTGGTGAGACTGGGACCCATCAGAATCTCACAAACCCACGAACTCACCTGGAAAGCTACGTACAAAGAAAACACCTTACTACTGTGAGACTACTCTGGGTCCCAAGACAGTCCTCACATGTCTCAATCAATCCATACCCATCCTGGCCCATCCTGTGGTTCGCACTGCGGGTGGACCCGGCCAACTGGCCATGCATGCAACACAACTGCCAGCAGGTGACTCCCTCAATTTCCCTGGAGAAGAACAAAGGTTTATATGACAGGTTAACGGATAATACTCCAGAAAAATGGTGAAACATGTGTGTTCATTCTTTTCCAGGTGATCCACTGATCTGTCACACACTTCTTTGAACTGCCTGCCACACATTTTTTTCGTTTTGGCAGAAGCACATGAAGCATCCAGGACCCAGATTTAATCAAGCATATCATAATATCATATCACACGTTCCCATGATATGATACACCCGATTCCCCGGAACGAATCTCCCCACGCAGGGGATGTCTCGTGTCTTCCACCATTTGCCTCCGTCGATTCTAACACTCCACCATTAGTTTGCTGAAAAAAGGATCGAAAGGCTGGTGCTGGCCTCCACCAAGACCCTCCAAGGGGTGTCTATAGAAAGCTCCTTAATGTAGACTCTTGATTCATAAAGCCTCTCAATTTGATTGAACAGCCTCTTCATATGGGGTGTTTATTAATCAGCGATGTCCGGTTTTGGGAAGAATCTTAGGGTCGATACCAGGTGCCAGGCCTACCTATCCCAGACACGACCGACACGTCTGTGACTGCTATATTTGCCTAGAAAAGGCCTACTGACTGGGAGTGTCTGGGTAGCCATATCATATTCCAGTCCGGAGTGTCTGGGTCGCCAGGCTGTTCGGGGAGTATTCCGTCGACGATCTCCCTCTCTTTTTGAACCCGTGACACGTTCCTGTTCACTGTTCGGGGCATTGTCCCTATCAAACAAAATCAATCAACCAAGAGTAAAATTATATAACAAAAACTATCCCCTAGGGATCCACATTACCTTCTCAGGAGGTTCTTCGGCCCTCCAAGTACATAAATAGTCTCCAATCACCTTCTGAGAAGGTACTTGGATCCCTAGGGTATGATCCTGTCCTCCTGTTGTCCTGTTCCGGTCCAAATTGACCACCTCAACCAAGATCGCCAGACCTTGGCCGGCCGTGTTTCGTGACTCAGCGTCGTGACCCGCCGTGACGCCGCCTCTGAGCAGCTTCATTCTGCAGCAGATGCTCAAAGAACCCGGTCTGGTGAACTCGCCCAAGCATGAGCCTCAGCGGAGCTGGCCGCGACGAAGCGAGCGCCGATTCGGCGCCAGCTTCGGCGACAGCGCCAAGACGACGGGAGCTAAGGCACGATGGGACACGAAAGCGACAATAAGACCTGCATTTGGACTGAACAGAGGCACTGTCAGTCACTGTTTTAAGTAGAATTTGTTTAATTGGTCTTTCCTCCGGGTGCATTGGCTGAGAAACTAAAGAAACATCGAAGACAGAAGACACACATGAGACTGATTCACTATGACATGAATGATGTTCCTTGGTGTCGAGATGTGTCGATGCAAGGAACTCAGTGGGTCCAAATACAAAAGTCCCATTTTGCCCGGGGTTTCCTCGGATGTAATTATGCCACAACAAACAAAACAAACAGAGAACTGGACATTGATTGTAGAGAACCCTACTGCAGCTTGCAAGAGCTCCCACGAAAGGAACTCCTTCAGTGTACATGAAAGAGATCTTTCACAATGAAATGGACTGTTCTAACCATAACGCATGCACTCTGGTCAATTGTGGTACCATGCCCTTCGCCCCACGCCCATCGGTCTCTGGGCCGTTGCATCGGTCTCCCCGCTTCTGCTTGGGGTTCACCGGCACCGTCCGTGCTTCCGAGGGGATTTGAGAGACCTCGGCAGGCGATCGCTGGACTGATCCGTCCAACGGTCGGCGGTGGTTCAACAAGCAGTTTCTTCTTAATGGTCTCTAGCAAAACAACCAGTGGTTCAATGATGTTTTGCCAAGGATATTAGACTACAAAACCAAATCATCGGTCTTTGAAGGCCAGGGTAAATACAACCCCGATATTGGCTGCTTGAGGTCAAGCCGCCTAGCCATTCGGCAAGGAGGGCCGACCGATCCAAACCTTCTGACCCATTGGGCTGGCCCTCCGAAGCGTGCTTGGGTGGACCTCCCTACCGAGAATGCGGGCCCCAAACGGGTAACATGGTGGACGAACCATGGTGAATACATATATATATATATAGAACCCTTCATGTCAGGATCTATCAGGAACCCTGACAATATCACCCTACCACCGAAGGTGAATCTACAGGAACAGACTTGTCTCTCCCAACAAATATATCCCTACAAATCAATGTCTCCGCTTTACTGCGTCGCATTTTCCTCGAAAGTTTCAAGAAAATGTGACTGTCAAAAACTTGTGTTACCTGAAAGTTTTTATCGTCTTTTCCTAAGTTTTTATCGTCTTTAACTTGTTGGCGTTGTATATATATATATATATTTATAATGAAATTGCAACAAATTCCTGGCAGCACGTGTGCGTTTTGGTGGTAATGTTGTTTATCAGTTTTCTGCAGCACTGTCATGACTCCAAACCGACCTGTTCGTGCAACAATCCCGCGATATAGTTGTGCCAGCTTAGCTTGCTGGCATAGCTACATGTGTGCCTCTACCGTGACTGTAGCGTGACTCCCCCCCCTTACTCGAAGTTTTCTTCAAAAAAAAACTTTCAACAGGCCAGCTTTTTATATAAACAACTTGGACTCGAACGTGTTTAGCGTGACTCTAGCGTGACTCTAGCGTGACTGTAGCGTGACTCTGGCCCCTGCAACATTTTGCCAAGAAGAGATTGGCACGTGTGGATGTTTACAAGGCATGGCGCAGGTAAAAAGGCGCTATTGAACTTGCTTTTTGGTTGAAACATGTGCTGCCAGGACTTATTTAAAGACATATATAACAAAACTTTTAACGAAACTGTCCCCTCGAAGTTTTTGAGCGTCGAATAAAATGTGATGCCGTAAAACTGCGTCGCATTTCCTACATTCAAGTTAAACTGCGTCGTTGCATGTGTAGGGTATTGTATAGTCTGTATGTATGGTGATGGCTACAGTACCGTACAATGTTGTGGGCCTTGTGGGCAATCTTCCCTCCAATCATGGACGTGGACTGTGCATTCCAAAGAACAAACGACTTTGCTCTACAAAACAGGCCGATGAGGGAATACTATTATATAGAGGTTGGAGGCCATCGCCATTAGTAAAGAAGCCCTACAAACAAAATAAAACTCCACTAAACCGCGCTTCCAGGGGATAGATCTAGACTTAACACGAAACCGCGCGTTCAGCGCGACCGTCACCATCGATCCTTTTCTCCGATTCCGCGCAGAATTCCGCTTCGGCGGCTCTGGCGGCGGTCGCGTAGCTCCCCGCTGCTCCTCAGTTGCGAACCAAACGAGCACTGGATCCAGTTTATATTTAAACATACATGTCGTTCCTGCTTGTATTGTTGTTGCTGGTGCTTTTAATTTGTTCTGCTGTTCTTCAAACATTCAAATCCAGATCGTTTGTCTTTTGTTGTTTATTATTGGCCTGTTGTTCTTTCTTTCACTGATCAAGTGATCCGAATATTCAAGGCCCCAACCCAGCTCCAAACGCACCCACGGACCTTCGCATCCTGTTTTGGCCGTTCAATGCTCTGCAAAGTGGCAAACAAATCCCCAAACAATCCATGTAGCTGGAATATCTATGCTTGGGCTCAGACTGCTTCCAGGATCGTTCCAGGATCATCGTGTAGCAAATATTCCAGACATGGAAAGTCGGTGACTTGCATCATCAACCAGACGCATGCAATATGTGTGACTTGTCACTACACACTCTTTACCGTATCCAAAGGCTCAGAGTTAGGACCCTCAGTTTGCTGGAGGACACCCACAACGAACGGGTGCAATGGACCCTTCACCAACAGCAGCTGGTTCTGGTAGTCTCTGTCCACAAGTTTTCAGAGCATTAGCACAAATATAGAATGCTTCATGTGGTGGATACCGTTGAAGACCGAAGAAAGGCCATCTTTAGCGCGCCGACCCGTCTCATAGCTTTGGGGCCAGGAGCAGTGATAAGTACGGCCCCATATATAAAGACCCGTGCCTTCCAAGACCTTTAAAAGAGTTCAGTTGACCTGTTGTTGTAGTGAACATTCTTTACGTAGAACAATGGTTGTTCGGTATTCAAACCATTAAGTCAATGGTTGGCCAGGAAGCCTATAGGGTTTTCTTGGCTTCAGGCTTGGTTCACACCCCTGACGAGGAAGAGTCTAACGCTCCGAGACTTATAAACTGACTTCATAGTATTTCATATAGTAACCTTGACTTCCAAAAGGCAAAAGGAAGAAGCAAAAACAGAATCCATTCACAAGGACATGCGGCTGGTGTTCGAGGAGTCAACAGCACATGCATCGCGGGGCATCGTGCTGATTCTAATTGGTACGATATTGAAACAGTCGAACCACCTACACAAAAGCTTCGCTCCAGACTCCGTCGGAAGCAAAACTGGACTACTGCTTAAAAAGAGAACCCTGATCTGGCACCGCCAACGCACACCATGCCAACGCTAGACCTGCGACCTGCTTCCTGGCAAAAGCACTGATGCTGCATGCTGGACTACTCGTTCCCTTCGCATACCGCCGCCCGACCACCTGGACCCACCGTCCGGAGGATTTCGGAACTTGACATGCAGATCCCAGGACCTTCAGTCAGTGAAGGTCCTGAGATCGGGATGACCTTCAGTCACGGACGCATCTATGTCTCTATGTCCTGCAGGGAATCCTATATCACACCGGGAATTCTTCACATCCTTGCACATCTGCATCTTCAATCTTTGGTCTTCGGCATGAACCATGGCGTGTTAAGGTGTGTTTCAACTGAACTCACTCACCTCGCGGCCGAACTCGCTCGGTGACCTGACTCGGAGGATCTGGATGGACTCCCGAGCAAATCCCGAGGAACATAGTACCTTGGTCTCCACAATCCTCAAGTTTGCTGGTTTCATGTGGACTACCCCATACAGATGACAGACATCTTGGAGCCAGTGCTGCCATCTGAAACAATGGTGCCCAAGCGAGCGACAGCTGGACCCGACTCCCTTGGGATCGGACGGAAATCCGAGGGTTTCTCACCAATGGGCCTGGGGGTCAAACGAGGGACCAGTCGTCCTGTGAACCCACCGCGTTTGGGTTTCTCACCGATTCTTCGGGACCTGTGCCCAATACCCCAAACAGGTGGACTTGCTGTGCCATGGCACTCCACCTATCTCAAACACTCCATATGGAACTGGAACAAACAGCGAGTTCGATGCTCAGTGGGGATTGGACTCCGTTGGGGGATGGTTTTCTGTCGTTCCGCATCCACAGCAGTTCTTGACCGAAGTGGCAGATTCGGCGCCAGGACCAGGGCCACGACTACGCCGACGTGTCTCAGACTTCGCCGACGTCAGCAGCTTCCACATCAAAAACCGTGGGAATGGGGTGTTCCCTAATCTTCCTGGACCCCGACTGACCCACCTTAGAAAATGAGACATGACCCAAACAAACAACTGGTACTTCCGCTCATCTTCTGAGGTAAGAACGTGTCGACTCCAGGTTCTTTTAGTGAGAATACCCACCCAACAAGGTTCGGCTGCACAGCCTGCGCAGCGAAACCAATACGTGGCGGCGTGCTGAGAAGAGTGGGAGATCGCAGTCCAGCAGACCTGGTGATTTTGATTGTTCCCAGACGCTCCAAACAGCCGTTGGTCCCTGAAAGCCTACTGATTTGAGACCCCAGACCCCTCACATGAGGGTCCAGGGTCGTGTCTGGGTTGAGTAATTCCCAGGCTCAATCGTGATCATGAGGGTATGACTGGGTTGGTACGAGTACCCGGTCAATTCATACTCAGGCAACACTAACTATAACCTTCCGGTTACCGTCCTTCCGGCTCGAACAGGGGACGTGACCCGAACCAAACAACAGGTAGGTATAGTAGGACTGCACCCCATTAGTTACTGTAATGGGTCTTTCCCACATTGGAAACATATGCAATATATGATATACATGTCCGATTGGATATATCATTGTCCTTTAAAACCTATGCATTAGACATGGAAACGAAGGTTATAAACAATCACTGACTGGAGATCTACGTAAACACAGGCTGCTTCTCTTCTCCTGAGGTCTCCTGCACCATGGTGTGACCAAACAAAGCCAACGAGGCCTTGGTTTTCACCGGATGCGAAGCTTTTCGCAACGGATGCGAAGCTTATCGCAACGGATGCAAAGCTTTTCGCAGCTTCTCTGCTTGTGCACTGCCTGAACCACCCCAACTCTTTAAAACCTGGCAGCAATCAAAGTAAAACAGCTGACCTCCAAAAAACAAACTCTAGCAGGGCCATGAAAACAACACATCCGGTTATAGTCCCTAAATCCCCTACTGTCACAACCCAATCGACAGTCATCCATAACCTCCTGTCTCGTCATCTTAACCATGTTGTTTCTTGTTGCTGCTGATCGTGCCACCTCCCTGACACTCTGTGTCTGCACCTACACACCACTTGGGGTGGTGGTTGCATATATATATATATATAGATTGTCCACCCATGAATTGTCAGGGATATAGTCCTGGCTTCTCTCAGTGTTTAAACGTTGCTGGGTGTTTAATCAATTCTGTCTGAACGCTTGTTGGGACTTGCACGCATCTGGGACCCTAACCTTTGGCATTCGTTCTTAATGACACTTTGTTGCGACTGCAACAGTCGCGGCTTTTGTTGTGTTTCAATGCAACTGAGAAACATATCATGCAAGTACGGAAAGGCCCAGAATGTGTTGACTGCATCACAATTTGTTTTTTGGGTTCTCCATCTACTGAGGTGATGTCTTCCTTCATTATGAGTAGTCAATATTAGGAAATTCCCCATGGACCTAATTAGCAGCGTAAATCACATTCACCTCCTTCAAAGTTGCACGCCAGTAACCCTTCTGGGAGGGTTGGCAGTTCTTCTGAAGTAGTTATACAGTGAAAATGTGTGCTGAATGTCTCTTGATCTTCTCTCACTCTAAAGCATGTTCTTCCTGCAATTCTCACTTTTCAGAATCCTGTGTGTGCGGCTGGAAGACTGCCATTGTTGGTCAAGTTTACTCATAGTCGTTCCATTGCAAAAAGAAGACGCCTAAACGGTGTCAGGCACAAACAAAACACTTCACCCTACTAGCTGGTGAGTTTTGACATGTTATGAACTCTCTTTCTTGGGCGAACAGTCAGACAGTGGCCGTACAGTCAGGCACAGCGTTCTCTGTCAAGCGGTTTGGCCGATGTCAAACGGGCCCGCTTTGGCTCGCTTGAAATATCGCTGGTTTGCTCCTCCAATGGCTTGGACCATATCCTGGCAAGAATTCATGTCCTCACCGCCCAAACAAATGTGCCTCTCATGATTTTTGATGGTCGTTTTGGGCTGCGTTTAGTCCTAACATGTCCTACCAATATGTTCAGGATGTTTATGTTTTGCACCAAGGATTGTATCTTGATAGAAACAAACAAGTAATTAATTTGAATTAGCTGGCTATCTACTAATATGTAGTTGATCGATTGGAATCTCATAAACAACTGGCAACGTACAGCTCCAGTCGAAGTCCAACCTCCAAACTGCCGTACAGGACTTCGCACATCTCCACAGAGCAACTCAGCTAGTCAAAGCGAGAAAACCTTTCTCCGACGGCTTTTCTCGGTTCGCATGACAGGTGGATCCCAGTGAACACGTGTTTTTGTTCAGGAACCAAGACTTCTAGGTCTGTGGCTTTAAACTTTGGAACCACTGGTTAACACGTCTCGTGGTCGATGGATTCAAAGGATGGCATTGCACCACAAAGCTCCAGTCCTTCGAATTCCTCTGAATTCGGGCGGCCGTCCGCACGCACAGGTGCAGGATGCTGCAGGATGCCGGTTTCAGGTGGATCTTCAGGTGTGTCACTTTTCCAGGGGAAACGAAGCAGCTCACGTCGACTGCCGACTGACCGAGCAAACTCCCGGGTCCACACGAAAAACCACCCACGCCCGTGGGTCATGTCACCGAAAAACCCACCACGGGTCGAACGAACAGGTTTTGATCAATGGCTCTATGATGCTCTATGCACTGCAGGCTTTCCACGGAACGTGAGTGGAATATGAGAAATCCGCAGGTCCGCTAAGCTCTTGGACCCCGAAACACGTAACAAAAACACTGCAGGCTTTCCGCAACCGCTGAAGTGGTGCTTTCTATGACGTTTGCAGATTCAAGTCTTCCTATTCTTCCTACCCAGTGAAGGTTCGTGTGCATCTGCACCAAACAGGTGTTCGTTCGTTCGCTTCACCAGGAAGGAACACATGGGAGTGACGGGTGGGGTTTCGAAAACTCGTCCCTCACTCGTCCCAT